AATTCGCGAGACATTCCAAGTTCACATAAACGCTTGAGAGATTCCTCGAGAGCGGAATCGAAACTAACAAAATCACTTTCGACAGAGTTTGCCTTGTTTCTTACCCGCACGAACGAAACGAAACTGACTGACAGACAATTGACAGGCAGGGTCAAGCCGCACTAATCAGAAACTCCGTTCGTGGGCGAACGGAGTTTCCTAAAAGAACAATGACCTCGGGCAGGCGAGATTTTCTTCGCTCCGTTTCTCTCCCCAGTCTTCCACCTCATGAAAAATTCAAGATGGTGGCTAAACTTTTTACGATGTGAGCGTTCGCTCGAAAAAATCTCGCCTGCTCTGCAGGCTATCATAAGCCGGGCAGTCGAGTCCTCGAACTCTCCCTTTCCCTGTAATGGGGTTAATTGCATGCGCATGTTCAGAATGCCGGCATTTCCATCCCCACTCACCCCTCCCCGTTCCTCCTCGTTTCGGAAAATCCGCACTGGAAAGAACTACGCGAGAGACCTGGTATCAAGTGTTTGCAACCGCCATATTGGAAATATTGGAAGTTTTAGTCTGCGATAGTCGGTGTATAAATCGGGTTTTTCTCTACTCAGTTACTGTTTAAAAAAAGAGGTATGTATCATTAACATTTCTCTTTTCATAAACACGACATGGAATCGATAAATTGCCATGTTACTCTTAAATTTGCGTAATCCAAACCCTTGCCATACTATTTGCGAACTGTTTTGGTAAGGCTCGGGGTGAAGACAAAAATACATGTATCAAAAGTCTTTGGCCTTTGTTTTGTACGTTACTGTTTAGCTTACCGGCTGGATTTTAGAGCGATGCTATAAGCAAGGCAAGTCTTCCTGGCACTGTCCCTATGATCCTGTTAGGAAAATTAGCAAAAATATACGTAGGGCTAATCAACAATAAGTGGATACCCTGCGAGACAGAAGTACCCTTCTCTTTTGCTTGGTGAGAGACCAGAGAGAACCTCTGCTTGCAATTGCTCGATCATCTGATTAGTCGCCGTCCTCAACCAGGGACGAATAAATTAAAAATACTGGTTGCGTTGACAAGTTTTAACCCGTTGCATGACAGATAGGATTCATAACGCTGTCCAATTGTGAAACTGTCAGCCATTACTGCCCTGTGACTGGTTACAAAATTACAATTGGCAACACTGCATGGACATTTTTCACTTACACATCAAATTCAAAACTTTTGTCTGCCAATAACTGACAATCTTTGATCTTTTGCTGTTTGCACAGTTCCAGAAATTATTGCTGTACATTAATTCACCTTAAAAAGCTATTCGTAGTCAAAGAAGCATGGTGTGAGGGAGTATCTAGGCAGGTTATTAAGCTTAGTTTTCAATTTCCCCCAAACAGTTTGTTTATCTGCAGCTAATTAGCAGTTTAGGAAACGCAAAAAGATCTGTTCCTTTGTCCCTCAGTACTTCTTAGAACTTTACAAAATTTCCGTAGTTTCTCTAACAAATAAATGGTGGAAATGTCAGAATTCAAGTAATTTTCCACCATTGACCTTAAAATAACTACAAATTTGATGGCATTTAAACGTTTTGCATGAGAAAGCATGATTATGTAACATGCTGGCATAGTTTCCGCATGCACGATAGAAAAGTGGTAACTTGTGAGCAGAGGTTCCCTCTTGTCTCTCACAGAGTAGAGAGGGAAGGGACTCTCTATCTCGCAGGGTAAATGTGGTTGGATGATAAAGAGTGATGTGGATAAAAGAACAGGCATTTTACAGTGAAAGAGAGGGATAATTTGTAGATCTTGTTGAACTAAACCATTTTTTTTATAATACTTTACTGGTTTGACCATATGATTTGACAAAGTTGTCCTTATTTTTATTTAGTAAATAAAGACTGCCAATCAGTCTTTACTTATCTCTGTCAACTTCATGCAATGCTTGCCACAATTGACCTGAAAATAACGAAAAATTTGAGCATGTAAACTAGGTGTTGTATAGGTGTTGTTTTGGCAGAAAATTGTGACTTTTTATTTAGAAAAATTCTGTCCTTTTAATTCCAGTGATGGGTGCAATGACGCAAATGCCCAGGCCAAAGAGAATCCATGTATTGTTGTCCAAGTTGTTTGGTGGAACAATGGTGTTTTGGATGCTGTGGAGAGCAAAACATGACTGGCCTGACCTACTGGTAAGTTAGTAATGATATTATGTTCATGTGATTATTGTAAAGGAGCTTGTGCACTGTAGCCAGTAAAAGTGATTTTACCCATGCCAATTTTTAATGCTGATTTTAAACACAGATTTTTAATCTGTGTTAGTTGAGACAACTTTTAATGCAACTTTGTTGCAGTAACAGTTGACAATGATAAGTTACACCAGACAAATTTTAAGGTAACACTGGCCACAACTTTTAAATTTGGCAAACAATGTTTGAATTCAGCAGGAATGAGCAAAAAACTCATACAATGTGTGACACTGCCGAAAAGTTGTATATAAGGCTCAAAATGCTCTGAAAAGTGTCAAATTTGTTCTGATAAACTAAACATTTGGGGCTTAGCCCTTCTTCAGTAGGTGGATTTAGCCACACCATACAAAAAACTGTACACGTACGCATGAACAGAAAGCATGCGCATGAAGTACACAGTAAACAAATAGGAAAATCATTGTTTTAGCGCACGTAAGTTTAATACACGCTAGCCCCACAGTCACAAGAAATTAAAGTTAATGTTCAGTCCGTTCGGTCAAAGCGTGCCCAGCTTGAAGATTCATTTCATTTCATGCTGCTTGTGGCTGATGTTACTGCCAGAGCACTGTGTCAAGCCACAGACCATGATGTCGTCCAAAGAGTGGGAGGCAGAGTTGAAATGTTCAGCTACGGGAAACCCAGGTGATTGGTTTTGAATGCTTGGGAGGCGCTCGCTGAAACATTCCCGTCGTCGCCTTCCAGTCTCTGCGATGTATAGGCAATTGCAGTGACAAAAAGAAATGCAATACACAACATTTTCAGACTGACAGGTGAAGTGGTCACAGATGTTATGTGTGCTCTCCGGACCTTGTAGAAAAGTCTGAGTAGTTATGTACTTGCACGTCTGGCAAAGAAGCCGTTGGCAGGGCAATTAACCAGCATCAGTGGGAGATGGTGAGGCATTAGCAGAGTGTACGAGGATATATCACTGAGGTTTCGCTCATGCTGATATGATACCAGCAGAAGTTTGGGGAAAATCCTGTGTGCCTCGGGATCGGAGGACAAGATGTTGAAATTGTCAAGCAAGATCCATCTGGTGCCAACGTTGAATGGATTATATGTTAATACCAACGGGACTTTGTTACTAGTGCTTTCATTGTGGCTTGTTGGGGTTGATGTGAGATGTTGGTGTGAATGTGTTTGTATGACTTTCAAAAATCTGCAACATGTGGCCATAATGAATTGTTGCATTAAAAGTTGCCCTGTATGACATACTACATGGTATCTGTTTTTAGTACTGAGAACAGCTTTGCATTAAGAATCGGCTTGTGTGACATCACCTTAAAATATAAATAACTGAAGGTGCTGTATAGAGCCAAAAGGCTAGCAAATTTGTAAATCTCTTATGCTACCAGTGAATGATGACTGATCAAAGTTACAATGGTGTACCGCTAAAACCCAACGTGAACCCAAAGTTGAATGAGTTCAATTTTGTGAATTATGCAAGTTATAGGGGTACTCCTAAAACTCTTGTTGTTTCTTTTGATGGCTGCATAAATTAATTTTTGTATGCTAGCAAATTTTAATGTGTCTTGTTCATAATCTATTCTTAGGGGCACAAGCTTCTATTTGAGTTGGAGGATGCTGAAAAAGCCAAGAAGAAAGAAATGGAGCATCACTGATAGATTGTTGTAATCTATCCTTCTGTTTTGTGTTGTGTTCTGGTGAAGAGGTACCCTACATTAAAATGGCAGAAACTGAGGCTGATGAAACAGTCAATTCTATGCATAGTGATGAGGAGTGATCTATCATTATTGGTTTAGACATATCATGAATTTCTTTTTGATGTATCTACAGTTACAATGCTTTTGTAAATATCTGTTTAATACTTTGAAATTTGTTGTGATATGTTTTCTTGAGTTTGCTCTCTCCTAATTAAACCATAGAGAAACTGTAATCAGGACTTTGTTCAAGATGTACAAATCATTTGTTTGTAATTTACTGAGATGCCACATTAGGGTACTAGTGTTTTTGGTAAAATATCACAATAATTTGGTAAAGTGGCACTTAATTTTTGTTTTTTTCTACGACCCGCAAAAAAAGTTTCCACAAAAAAAACATTCCAGCAAACATTTTCTCCCCAAAAAATTTACTCCACTTGTGAAATTGCACAATTATACAAACATCACAAGTAGATTGTTGTTGCTGCCATTTATTTAAAATGTCTCTTTCATTCAGAAGCAAAACTGGATGAAATGAAAAACAAAATGTTTAGAAATAAAAAAAGGTTTACGGGAAAGGACTGTCTGAAGGTACTCCATTGATGAGGCAATCTGCAATTCTGCACAAGAGCACCATGTAATTGAGAGTGACATTGATTACTGGATTACTGTGTTTTGCATCTCTCCATGTTGTTTCACTTGACAATTGCTTGCAGTTTAATTGACAAAAAATGCGAAAATGCTGTAATTTCAATTAACGCGACTTCCCGAAAATTGCAAAAGTAGTGCCCAGCAAGAAAAACCAGTTTTTATACAATCGCAAAAACTAGTTCCCACAAAATACAAAAACTCCGCTGATTTACAAATATAAAGGCCCAAAAGAATATAGTGCCACACAGTAGCAAAATCACCATGGAGCCGGGCCAGGATGAGAGCTAAATCTTTCAGAAACCCACCAAATGAACTAGACAAAATTACACCATATAGCAAACACACTGTAATCTCTTGACATCATCAAATGTTTATTGTAAACAAATGCCCAAAACATGTTCTCTTTTAAACTCAAATTATCTAAAAAATACCACTAAAAAGCTAGACTTTTTTCAATACCATCTTTTTCAGTGTGTTTGTTAAGATCATATCCTGTACTTTGAATATGGCGGCTGTAGCCTGACGTATACATATGATCTCAGTGAACACAACTATGAAATATCTTGGTTTGGGCTCTCCTGGACCAGGCAAATCTCCCCCATTTTTTTCAACTTGGATGGGCATGGTTACAAGCTGTTACTGGTCAAGGAGTGGACTGAAAATGGTAATTGTTCAGGACTCTCATTTATTTATATACTGGCAATTAATAATAGGATTGCTTTATGGGTGATTTAGTATTATAGATTTATTTGTAATAATATAAGTATGTTTCCTGGAAGATGGAAGTTTTCTTTTTGTGTTTAAACTAACTCTAAATCAATTCTCTTCAAACCCAAGAACAACTTATATTAACTTTTCATGTAATATGAACTGTTGATAAACAATATTATTGTACATGCACAGATAAAAAAGTACAGCTTTATTGTAAACTCAGCAGATATCCTCAGGTCATCTTAGAAACCCAGTCTGCCAGGAGTTATCATTACGCGATTTGTAAACAATTTTGTTTCTCAGGGCCAACTATATCCTAAATCATTTTATCATTTTGTCCTTCAAAGAATTATGCAGTTTAAGATCAGAAATATAGTGTGTGACTGGGAAAGGTTTGTTTGAGCTTTTTCAGAAACTCAAAAGAACAAACACAACACAACAACACTGCAGTTTAAACCACTGATGCAGAAAAGTATTAAAAAGTTTACATGATATTTATTAATATATTATTAACACTACTTGTATTATATTATTATTTTGGCAATATGATCACCTCTTTCCCATTTTCTGCCTCCTTAAAACTAGGGAAAGCCCTGCCTTTCCTTCATGGATCACCAAACGAGAAGAGAAAAACATGACTTTTCTTTACCAAACAACCTGACTTACATGCTAGCATATTTTTCTTTTCTTATTGACTGACCTTTATTTGAGGAAGCGATGACCACTTGTGGCCCTTATTAATGCTAGAAAACCTAAAAAATAACACTATGCCTATATCTGTTAACAAATATTAGCTTAAACTGTTGCTATACATTTTATATTTAATATGAAATGAATGGTGACTAACATGATACAGTTTAGATTCTGGCTAGAAAAGGTTTGTCAGAGTACAAACCACAGAAAACCATGTTTTATTACCCTATATGTGGATATTCTTATCATGCATGTAAAGAAGCGAAAACCATTTATGACATCATGTATTATACTGCATACTTTTGGTACCGTCTCAGTTTGAGAACACTAGAAAATTAGAAAACACTTCTTTGTGCTTTGAGCGTTTAGCTTGTAATACATGGCTTTAACTTTAAATTAAGTATTAAAACTGTTTATTTTACTATATTGTTATAAAAAGCTCTAGTTGTGTAAAGTGTGCCACTGTGCGATTGCTCTCCGTGGTGATGCAAGCATATCCATCCAGTGTTGTTGATCGGGACCAGATGACAACTCACCCACAACACATTTACCAATCACCTCACTGCGTCCAACACGATCATAGTCCAACACAGAGATTATCAAAGAAGTTTGCTCTATGTTCTCAAAGGGAACTTGAAAAGTAAAGTTCTCATTGTAGTAAGGATTAAGTGTCCTTTTCTTTACAGTTGTCTTCTTCTTTTTAAGTTTTCTTCCCTCTTGTATTAGAGCTATTTTGACATAGGGATCTGTAAAGGCATAACACTGTGTCAAAAACCTAATTATGAGCAACTGCTAGAAGTAATTAAGAGGAGTTTTAAAATATTGATTTAAAGCTGAAAGCAACCTTGTTCCCAGGGTCTCTCATCTCTCCCTGGGAACAAGGTTGGGCTGAAAGGGGCTAAAATTAATAATTAATGATATTGGCAGCAAAGTAGTCAGTCTTGTTATTCACTATTGGATGGGAGAATGCCACAAGATCAGCCCAAGCTAGAGCAGCTAGGTGGGACTTTGTAGAGGCCTTATGTGCCAGATGTGACAGATTTAATGTATTTAAACTTCAGACTACTCTTTCTCTAGTTAAAAGGATATCACTAGGTACCTGAATATCCTGAGACATCCATGCTTTTAAGATCTTTAGCTTCTAATATGACCACTTGAAGTTTACCAGCAGCAGGAACATACCGCAGTGAGAAACAAAGCTGACCTAACTCTGACTTGGAACCCTGAAAAATCAATATGAAATTATTAGAAAAAGAAGAGAAATGGAATGAATGTTGCCAAAGTAGTGATAAATTATATGTTAAAATATATGTTCTTGAAAAGTAAATTTGGTGCTATTTTGAAAGTCTTTGGAATTCTTTGTTTTCATTCCTGATTACTGATTGTCTCTCAAAAAATATATTAACAAATAAATGTAACTCTCACAGGCATTTCTGTATCAAAGATCTAGGGATGGAGTAGAAATACTCCTAGTCGCTTCAAGCTACTGAAACCGGAGATAAGCGCCAGCATGATGGGCAATTGGCTCATATACAGACTTTACCTGCTATGCTTTCTTGTGCTAGGTTTTGATTGGAAATGTTTGGAGTGCTTCAAGAAAGATTTGATAAAATGGCATGTGTTCTCTCTTCCAAAGTATACTGTGGGATGCATTAGTTACATGGTAGCGCTCACCCCTGTAAGTCCTCCTGATGATGAGGGTGGTATCAGAGCTCGCCACTCATCAATATTGGAAGCTAAATCTACATCAATAAGAGGAAGCTTGGCTTCTCCAATGATATCATGTCTAGAGAAGCGGTCAAAGTCATACAGCTCTATACAGAGAGTTCTATTTGTAATGTCACTGTAAGGAATGTTCTTGAATACAAATGTTTCCTTGAACACTGGATTTAGAGTCTTCCGATGAACCTAAAGATATGTAACATGAATGTATTAGTGAGTATCAAATGCAGTTAGTATTGAGATTTGAATGAAGATTCATAAGCTGGCCCAGAGAGTACTTGGATTGGTGACATGACATAGTATTCAAGTTAGCCAAAATAAATGTATGTTACTTGAGATTATATTTCTTTGGAATTGCCCTTTTGGTCCAAGCAGAGGCAGGGGCAGACCTACAGAAGCTATACTTCCCCCAGAATTTCCCAAGGAAGACTGGTCAAGTTTGTTTTTGTGTGACTCTGATCTCTCATCATAAAACAAATTGTCTCAATTCTGCTTACCTTTGTATCAAATTTCTTTTTTCTGTCTGGTAATAACATTACTCTCGCATATGGATCAGAAGTTCCACTGAAATCTTTAGCTGGGACATCCTGTGCTTCTATAACTCCAACCGCAAGAGAATTTTCGTTGAAGCTATAGTCAAGGGTAAAGTGAACCCGACCTGTGTAAAGAATCCAGTAACAAACAGAATCAAATTAAAGTCTTGATAAATTCTTGAGGTGGGAGGTCACTGGGCTGGTATTTTAAGGTGAAGTGACTCTCTGTTGCAGATCACCACAAGGATTTTTTTTCAGTTTGCCCCCGACACTTAACTGACACGGACAAGTTAGCCTGGGCTCTGAATCAATGTTCCCTGTAAACTGTAAATCATTCTGCTCCCTATATATTCAATCAGAGCAATGTCTAGTTCCAGAAAATATCCATACCTCTCAAACAGAAGAGATTTATCTATGACTCCCCCATCCACCGCTCTGGAAATTCCAAGAATTAAGCTTGATACAATAATTGTATCAAGCTTAATTGGAATTTCCAGAGTAGTGGAGGGGGGAGTCTTGGAAAAGTCCCTTCTGTGGGAGAGGTATGGATATTTTCTGGAACTACACAAAATTATTTTTTAAAATTTTTGGTCTTAGAGAATGCCCCTCCTGCCAGGAAATTCCAATCCCCTCTTTGGGGTAGTATGGATATTTCCTGGAACTGAACAAATTGGGGAAAATGTCAAAAATGATGTAAATGACTAGAAAGAGTCAGAATGCAAACTAAAAAAGTGCTGGTGCTCTAAACCTGCAAACATGAACAGTTTCAACTGTGGGAATTTCTGTCTCAGCACAATCAATTTATACCTATTTTAACTCCAGAACTACCATCAGACTGGAATTCATCACTGTTGTAATCTAACTCATCTACAGATGGTTGAACTTTTTCCTGATAGCTTGCCGCCAGCATTTGCACGGCTTTCAGGTCAACCTTTTCCTTGACAGCTTTCTTTTCTTCCTTCTTCTTTCCCCTGCAACATCGGCGATAGCACACACAGTAGCAGCAAATGGCAACAATTAGGAGTCCTATCAGACCAACGGCAAATACTGCCCACCATGGTACTAAAAATGATAATGGAAAATTGAGTGATTAAAGAAGGGGCAACAGCAAAAGAATCTGAGAATCTGCTAGTTACTCACTCTCACCATTGTTGATTTAAAATGAAATTATTCTCAAAGTTTTTAAATCTTTCACAATTTTTCAGCTATGCACTTGGGAAAATCAGACTTTTGAGTAAGAGATTGCCCCTTGAAAAAAAAACTTAGTTGTCTAAGCTAAATAACATAAAAATTATACAGTTTTAAACCCTGACCTTGAACAACTTTCCTTTGGATTTTGTAACCTTTTTCTCCCCAGAATTTCCAGTGAGCTTCCTTCTAAAGAGTATCAATACTGGTATTTCCTTGAATTATATGCCCCAGCCAATTTACCTCATACCCAATAGAGCGGTTTTCAGTTGAGTGTCGAAAGTAATCAGACAATTACTTTGGTTTTGGTTTTGGTTTTTCTATGGTTTGAGATTGACTGAGTAGTCTAATTAGTAAGTAATTACTTTGGTTTTGGTTTTACGACAGTCAATTGAAAAGTGCTCTAAGTAATAATAATGATGATGATGATGATGATGATAATTGTAATAGTATACATACTTCCTTCAGGATATGCCTTGTGTGGCTGTGGAGTGGTAATTTTTTGAGGTTTAACTGTTGGCATGGTTGTTGTTGTTGTTGTTGTTGTTGT